AAAGTTTTGTCAGTGAGCACAACGGTTTGTATCTCCCACACCAGACCCTGTGAACTGTGCTGTGCAGAGTGGGAAACAGAGACTACACAGAGCTTAATTGAGATTCCCAAGAGCACACAAGTCAGGCTAAATATAACTGACTTGCGATCCATGCTCTTTTGACTATGCCATGTGGCCTCCCAGGATTCCAGAGAAACAAACTGCTATCAGATGATGACTGCAGACTTTGTTGTCCTATGGAATGGGTTGTGCGCCCTCCCCCTCCTCAAATTTGTATGTTGAAGGCCTAATCCCCACTGTGACTGTATTTGGAGAAGGTAAGTAAGCTAAATGGTGGACCCCTGCAAAGATAGAATTAGTGTCTTTACAAGAGACACCAGAAAGACTTCTGTGTCTGCCATATGAGGTGTCCCTCTGCAAACAAGAAAAAGAGCCTTCAGCACCAAATGGACCAGCACCTTGACCTTGGACTGCCCCCCAGCCTCCAGAACTATGAGTTATAAATTCTATTGTATAAGTTATACACACATTGTTATAATAATCTAAGGAAACCAAGACACATTGCTAAGATGGACAATAAGGTGAGGAAAATTCTGGGAAAGTGTGCAGTAGTTTCTTATAGTCATCTAAGTTGGATAAGAAAATAAATTCAAAGTATAGGCAAAATTTTAAAAGGATCATTATAAATTCTTCTAATTGAGCTGAAAACATCAACCTCCAACACCCAACCCTAAGGACACTGTTCAGTCTTGTCTGATGAGTTAAGTGTCGGTAAAGCAGACTCCTTGTTGGAGTTTAGCTGCTGAGCAAGGACTGTCAGTGTTGTCTGAAGCTTCTGAATCAACCGTTGTGGTGAACTGGACTTGAGAGGAAAAGCAGCAAGGTTTTGATGTTCCCTGCTTGGACAGGAATAACTTCAGGGGAAGCCAACATCAGACAAAGTCCCTCTGTGACATTAATACCCCAGGACACAAACATTTAATCATGGCAGAGTGCCGACAAAGGCAGGAATATCCTCCAGGCCACGACCTACGGATCACTAATATTAACCCTTCCCAGGTAGCACCCGTAAGGTCGGCTGCTCTGCCAGGTTCGCCTGCCCTCGTATAATTGGCATCCATCAGAGAATCGCCACCCCTCTTCCTGACAGCCTGCAGTCCAGAGCAAAGCCCAGCTTCCTAATCTCTCCGGCTGCCATTGCAATCTTCTTCCTGACTGCTGAGATGCCCCACAGCTTTGCCATCCACGCCGCATGAGCAACAGACCTTGGGCACCTGGGTTCTCTGTGGTGCTGGCCTGTGGAGACGCTGAGGAAGGGGTCACAGGGCCCCACCTCACCGCCTCCATCTTGCTTGTCTCAGACAATCTTAGGGAACATTTTTTTAGACTAAAGCCTTGGACTTCTAAGTTAAAACCCCACTGTCATGTTTCCTTCTGGCTTTCCTATTGTTTTAAAGTGTGAGGGAAGTCAAACACAACTATATCAAGGAAGTTAATTACATTTGGAATTTTCGTGAGGCTTCTTCATACTCAATAGTAATGTATCCACTAAGTGCATTACTTCTCGCTGGTAGGAAGCTGGTGGATAAAATCAAGCCATGTGGGTTTTGTCTCAATCGAAGGCATTTGTTATTTTTGCCTGTCCCACCCTCTTGCACTCGCCTGTTCTCTTGCAGCTAATAGAATCTTTCTTTCCTGCAGGGAACTTGCAAAGATGGGAAGTCCACATTACTACATTAACGTCCTCCCTACATTAACCTCCTCCCATTTGGATAACCCAAAATGCGATGCACCTGTGACGGCTCCCCTGGCCACACTGATTGGGTTGGGGGATGCGGGGGGAAGGTAATTCCAGTCTGGCCAGTCTTGGGCTGATGCAGCAGCTTTCTGCCAGGTACTAAGTTGATAGCTGCACATCTGTGATGCCTTCAGTCGTCTCAGCACACAGGGCAAAAAGCTGTATGCAAAGAGCTATGAGACCAAGCGCTCACATAGGTCCCACAGATTTAACTGTGACTGAATCTCTCAGAGATAAGACAGTACTTAATTTTTCCTCCTAAGTTAGTTTGAGTGGAATCTCTAGTTACCAACCAAAGCCAAATGATGGAAGCTGCCTTCGGGTTTGCAAAATGATCCAACCCAATCTGTCCATTACCACCGGGGATGTGTCCTGGCTGTATCTCCCCATCTCAGGTGAACTTGTTACTGGGTGCTGTGACCGTGAGAGCAAGTGAAGACAGGTGCATCAGCCTTCCCACATTTATTAGCAAGTCATCCCAGAAGGGGTGAAAGAACCCGGTCTTGCATATCCAGGGAAGACCACCCTCTCCTGCCCAGTCTCCCAAGTGAACCTTTAGGAAGATTCACTCCAAGGTGGACGACTGTGGCAGCGGACAGGAGCAGCATTGGTGAGCGTGCTTCGCAAAGGGAGGGGCCTCAAGCCATGAGCCACAGGACTGTGGTCTATGGACTATGTGTCTTTGACTGAGCGCTACTCCAAAGGTACCAGGGTGCTGGGCTTTCTGGGCTCTTAAACTTTGGAGTCTTCCTGCAAAGGACACAGCTGCCTCAACACCATTCACTTTAAGTTATGATGATGCTAGCTTAGGATGCTGAAAGTATGCTAAGTTGATAGACTTTAAATCTAATATCATTGTACTAACTTATGAAGTCACCTCTGTATGGTAAACTGTCCTGGGCCATTCTGAAGCTAAGCATCTCTACCTCACGGCTTTCTAACGCAGGGAACTGAAATGTGGTCTAATCACTCCAGTGGTGTGATTAACGTTAATTGACACAGGCAAACATTCCATTATTCACATCAAGAATAAAACATGGGCCCTCCCTGGTGGCGCAGCAGGTTAAAGCGCTGCACTGAGAAGCTAAAGCCGCTTCCGCATGAGTTCGAT